TCATTGAATAGAGCTGAAAACAAGCACACGAGGCAGATTCTAGGGGAGGAGAGGCTGCCTGTAACTAACAGACACAGGATGGAAGCTGGACGGGGGCAGCTCAAGTGAGGGCGGCCCAGACCCACTGGCTGGTAGGGAGTTGGTAGCCAAAGTGGGACCTAGAGGTGGTCACTCTTCCTTTGTCCTTCCTAGAGCTCAGGGGCTTTGCCTAGCTGACTTCAGGGCCCACATAGTTAACTACCTGCAGACAGATGGTATCTTATGAAAGAACAGAAAATACACTGAATACAATAAATTACAAGACCTCCTCCTAAACCAGGATTTTTTTGGAAAGAATTCTAAATAGATGAAAACAAACAATTTGATTTCAACCAAATTGTTGTTTTTTTGTTTTTATCCTGATTTTCACCCGAATTGTCAGTCTCAAAAATAAACACTGATACATTCCCAGAAAATATTTTTCAAATAAAAACTGACTCTGTTAAAGTTTGCCCTGATTCTTTCAAAACTGTGTACAAGACACTGTCAACCAAAGTGACTTGCATATTTTTTTTAAATCAACTTGAACATATGCAGCTAAGATGTCATTAACGGCCTGCTGCTGGGTGTTTCTAAGAGAATGACACAAGACCCCAGGCTGCATCTCCAACACAGGGTCTGCAACCCTCACAGATACTTCCCCAAGCAGTTCAAACTGCACGCACTCAGTCTAGTTGTTCATCTAGGCGCCGTGTGCGTCATTAATACTGAAAAGTTCACCAGGCTCCATCTACGAAAGGCCTCTTCTAACAGTTCCCTTTGTCCAAGAACGCCTACTTCCACAATAGGAACAGTGGATGAAAAGTGTTGAATTTTATATTGCTTCTGATGCATTTTCTCCTCTTATTGCTTTCTGAGTAAGACATTACATTTCGCAATATAAATTCACAATCGAGTTTTTAAAGGGAGCTAAATATTTTAATCCAATTAGACAAGTGAACAAAACACTGAATATTACATGCAGTGGAGATAAGTGGTTCTTGCCTTTAAAAGACTGTAATTCCGTCACATTGCAACCCCAAATGTCAATGTTGTCTTCATCTTTAACACTTTCAAACACAAGGCAACCAGAGGCTCCACTCCCTGCTGTTGGTGACACTGTCTGTCCTTTGGGAATTCTTAAAATGTATTTCCCATGGAAATATGATTCCCATAACACAGACACCTGCCCCTGTGCAGAACAAGTACTTAGGACTCAGAAGCCAACACTGACCTAAGGAGGAGCTCTGCTGACGAATGACCTACAAGAGGCCAGCACAGAGCTATCCACAGAGTTGCAGCCTCTTCATCCTGCTTTCTTCTTGCTCTGGCTTCTGCAGAGGTGGCAGAGCCAGAGCATCAGTGGAAGGGAAACGCAGCTATCCTCAGAAGCCCAGACAAGTGGCCAGCAAAGAGTCACTGCTGGTCTATGGTGACTTGCTGCCTTAGTGGTTCCTAGCAAAAGCCGTGGCCTATGCTGGGGAGACTGCTCTAGGATCTGGGGTACTGCTGAATTGTGAGCTTTGTGGACATTACCACCTGCTAAGCTAGGTGTCCTTCATTGCTATAACCCACTGATGTCTACAGCACATAGCCTTTATTCTGTCTAGGCTGATCCATTCTGGGTTGCAGCCCATCTTGCCCTTTATAATGTTGCCGTGCCAGCTTCTCAGTAATTCATGATGTGTCAAAGCAGGCCTTGAGAATCATGGTAGGATCTGTACTTGGAGGTCACATGCCTAGGTTAAGATCTCAGCTCTTCACTTCAGATATAGGATAGGTCCCATTTGGAGCCCAGTCCAGGTGCTACTGAAGTTTACAGTCACTGTCAACATCACAGCAGGACCATGGGGCTATTAGACAGAAGTCACTTCATAGCCTCCCAGAAAGATGGAGGAATACTGCCCAAAGAAGATGTGGTGTGATGGGAAAGCAGAGTACGTGAGTATCCCATAGCACCAGAAGGGAAGGCAAGCCACAAAGAGGAGCCTGGGGCCTGGGTGTACTTCTGTCAGTCACCTCAGAACAAGCTTGGAAGTGTCCACCTTTTTAAAAGTAGATGCCCACTGCCAGAGGCATAGACAAAGAATGTTTGTGGACATGGCCTCATAGGATAAAGAGCACAGAGAAAGTCAAAAAGAATGTTGACTTGGAAGGCTGTAGGACACTGGGGTGAAAGGGCAAAGACCTGTGGGCCAGTCACTTAAGAGACTGGGCTGAAGCAAAGAAATAAATGGAAATGGCAGCCGAGCCTACAAACAGAGAATCTGAGGACCCTAAAGCACAGCAACTGGACAACAGTTTGGGTCGGCCCACACAACTCGCTTCCTAAACTCCAAGTCTAAAGTAAATATCAGAAATAAATTAGGCACAAAACCCAAAGTTTTGGGGGAAAGGCTGTGATAGGAGTTAAGAGTGACAAGAGGCACGTGGGTCAGGAACATCGGGCTGTAGTCAGGAAAGCAAAGGGATGTCTTTCTATTCCCAGGGCAGTCACAGACTGGAGGGGGGGGGGGACAGCAGGGGTCATGGTGACAGGTGAGGTGGCAGGATGGGGAGATGGCTGTCAAAGGCTCCAGCTGAAGTTCCAAACTAAAAACATTCCCTTGACACACATCTTCTCTTCTGGACTGATGCCACAGAAAGACACACCAGTAACACCACGACAAGTGACTGCAGATATGTCAGATAGTGGTAGGAATTCCCATTTTTCTGACTCTGGGTATCCGCAGAGTTCAGGCAGCACTGAAAAGGTCCCTCTGGTAGACAGTGTGGCAGTGCTACTCTCAGGCCTACACTTACCTTGCACCAGAGTACAGGGCTTAAAGAAGATGTGCACTGGCAGTAAGGAGGCAGTGTCTATCCAAAGTGGAGGCTGGCGCTGGTGGGAGAGGGACAACCCCTTCCCTCCAGGAGCAGTGAACTTCATGTGTTCCTGTTTTGCCTCACACTGTGTCATCACAGGAGGTTGTCCCCAGTCAGAAGAGCAGGCCAGAGTCAACAGGGAGCCCAGTGATGACACATCACTAGATGACCTTGGAGCCACAAGCACTCAAAAGACTGTGAAATGTATTTCCTGGAGCTGGGTTAATAAAGCTCTTGTTGCAAGCTCCACTCTGCCACAGGAGTCTATGCCACTGTCTGCACTCGAGGGGATTTTCTGCCTGAGTGCATTCATTTTTGTCTTCTGAAATGTCATGGTCTGTGTTGATCCTTGTTCAGTCACCCACTTTCTTGGGTTAAAAGCCCCAATGTCTAGGGACCCAGGATAACAGGCAGCCTGTCCTATTTGGCTATACTCGGAGCACTGGGGAGGGCATCCCAGCAAGTCACTCTCAGAATCAATGTCTGCTTGCTCAGTGAGGCCTGGTGTCAGCTCTAATGGAGACCCTCTGTCCTCTTATTACAGTTGGTGGCAGGCTTTGGTGACTGACAGATGTCCCAAGGACCCCTCTAGAACAGTCAGAACAGAGTTCCCACAAGCTCCGACAAGCTCATCTTTTTAACCTTATGTTATCCTTATGCTATCTTGCCTTCTGCCATAGCCCCACCTGCATTCCCTGTGTGGAAACCACTCTGCTCACATTAACAGTTAATTAAAACTCACTACCATGGTACTCATCCATCTACCTGAAATGCACGCATGATTTTTTTTTCAGGAAGGAAGGGGGTGTATCTCCAGTATGTCTCACTTGGGCTTCCAACTCAGAAATCCCCAACATGTAATCATGGCTTCCACCAGGCAGCAGAACTCTGGCCTGGTCTCTAGATCTAGTCATGCAAGGTGGGGTGGGCTCTGGCCCGGTGGAAACTGCAGTTCTAGGACTACCACAGACAACCCTCCTCAGACTTGCACAGCACTGGAGCTGGCCATCTTCCACTAAAGGCACTACAGAAATAGGGAGACTTTTGATATACTTAGCATAGCATGAACTTGTGTGCAAAGTCAGAATAGTCATCGGGAATGGTGTTCAGCACTTTCCCAACCCTTGGCTCTACCCATACCAGAAAGTGCAAAATCTTAGAAATGAGACCTCATAAGTATCATGGGTCACACCTTCCAACATGTGGGTGGGGTGCCAATATGTAAAAAAGCATTTATATATGTTACAAGAAGCTGCAGGTAACAGAGGCTCCTTTGTGTTAGTCCAAATAGACTGACTGACATTCTAATTTTCCCCTACTTTAAAGCCCACTGTAATGTCAGATCTGTTTCTAACAAATAGTTGGACACATTGTCATAATGTCAACTCTTCTTAGGTAAAGGTATAAACAGGCCTGGAGTACTGGCTGCTTTCAGAAGAAAAGCATTAGAGGTACACAGCCTGATACTTAAAAACAAAAAGGGCTTTCTTTAGTCTTCAGTGGCAAGGAGTAAGGCACAAATTTTCAATACAGTTGGCTACATATGATTTCCACATTTTAGCAACAAGAACCTTTTCTCCAAAACTTCAGCAATAACAGCTGACCAAACTAGCAAATGAGAAAACAAATACCCATGATCTATTTAAACTTACTTTTTATTATCATTTTTTCCAGTTACCCAGCATGCCACAATCTGATTGCTGACCTGGATGAAACAGAGTGAAATAAATGATTTACAAAGAGATATGTACATTCATCTGATTTGTACTTAATGTGCCACAGTGCACCAAAACCTCCCCGGGGAGACACCACCTGGGACTGCAGGGGGGCTGGTCCTCATGCCATGGTTCTGTCCCTGTGCTACAGACGGGGAGTGCTTCAGCATGAACTGGCTCGGGCTAGTTGGAGTGTGTGCTCAAAACAACTTCAAGTCACTGTCTACTCTAGAGTATGCACGGGATTAATAAAATGACCTCTCTTAAAGACTTGAGTTGTTCTGTTTCCTTTTCATCTTGTAGCAGTGACAGACACCAAAGGCACAGGTTGTAAGTCAGCCAAAGTGTACTGAAGACCACCTCTCCTGCTGCCACCCCATTCTCCCTGTGTGATATGAAGATTATGCACACCTGTAGCCAGCATCCGGTATTCCCCATCCAACTGTGCACTCAGGAAACACGCTGAACAACATAAACAGCCCCCTCCCCCTCCCCCCAAAAAAGGCATCTTTGGCTCGATGGTGTCAGATTTTAGTCTTCAATAGCAGTTATTTGAGAGGAGCCTAAAAACAAATGTATGTGAAATTAGAAAATTTACTTAACAGTATATCAAATATCTGTACACAGATCATATTTTTAGTCTAAAATAGTATTTCTACTATACAGTCAAGCCCTCAAATGCTTTAAAAGAATACAAACGGACACTGGAAGGTCTGGGGTGTAGCTCAGTGGCAGAACACTTGCCCAATTTGTGTGAGGCCCTGGGTTCCTTCCCCAGCACCACCAAAAAAAGAAAAAAAAAAAGAGAGAGAGAGAGAGAGAAATTGTGGCTGCTGAGATGATCGTGGTGTCTGAGTGGGATGAAACACTAGGGCACGGCTGCTTGTGGGACAAACCTACGTCATCTCCTTTCCTAGCCAGCAGCCCAGGGCTGTCAGCAGAAGTGTGGTTTGTACATGCTCAGCCCGCCCCTCACCATCGTGCGGCGGCATAGGCCAAGGAGGTGGTGCCATGACAATGCACAGGCCGTCCTCATCTCTGGGGCATCAAAGGTGCAAGCCGCAAACAGAGCTTCTATTGAGTCACAAGTTTCTGAGTTCATCAGCTGTGCTGGACATAAAGCTGTCACGTATTTTAACTGTCCTTCTAGTTTATGTATACCATGAATAAATTATACAATATTCTAAAAATAGCACCTTTAAAGAGTAATAGAGGTCACTTTATTTCAGCCTCCTGGATGTGTCAACCCCAGTTGATTTTGAGGACAGCACATGAAGAATGTCCCCAAATTTGGCTGAGAAATACACATGTATGTCTGACAAACTGGTCAAAGTCATGCCTCTCTCTGCTGAAATCCCAAGAGCAAAGCCAAGTTCTACAGTTGTAGCTTATGAGGTAAAATGAGAAATATGCCCCATCCAGAATGTTCCAGCGGAATCCAGACATTCTAGCCAACAATTGCTTACGTCTAAGGCATAAACTGCCATAAGGGTTAAAGATACACTGCGAAGGAAGTGTGTGGGGCAGTATGTTATCAGGAAGACATTAGTGATGAGCTACCTTCCTTGAGGATTCTGAGTCCACACCGTTTCTTACTAGGACCTTTAGGGTCTCTGGTGCCTCGTGGCCAGTGACTCCACTCCTATCCCACCATTACTTCACACGAGCATGCTCTTGGCATTCCTACTTACATAAAAACAACCCCATGTGTTTCTAAGATGAATTTACCTATCTGTCACTCCTTCATACAGGGCTGGTTAATACCAGCTGGGGCTATAATAATGTTTTTCCAGAAAAGAACAAAATTTAGTTTTCTGAAATTACAGAGCCACATCCAACAACAACAAGCAGAGAAGCAGCAGATTGACACAGGCTTTATTTAAGCTGTCTGCATGAAGAAGTAATGTGTGTCCCTACCAACTGCCTGTGAGAGTCTAAGGGTGGAGAGTGTACAAAGCCATTTTTTGTAGTTATTTCATATCCTAAGGGTCATATATGTAAGGAAACGAATGTCTGTAGTGTGACCAGCAATGATAATGATACAGCATCTATGTTCATATCTGTGTCTGTTCCAAACCCTTAATCAGATGACCAGATCTTGCATGGATCTAGCAGAAAAACTAGAAAGTCAAAATATGTTACAAACTACAAATCTCCAGGGAGGTGACTCGATGACCAATTCAGAGGTTTTCTTTTTATTTAAATAAATACTTTACATTTCATGCTTGCCTGTAATGCACTACCAGGAGCAAGCTTAGGGAACTGTGATGTAGACAGTACAGACAGTAGCAGCAAAGTGTGTACACTGAGGTGTGGTAGAGACCCTGCAGTTAGTGAGGAAAGGAGAAGCATGTGGCCCCTGTGAGAACAGTCACCTTTAAGAAGCTCGAGGTCGGGTACGGGAATGGAAACAATACTGGAATAATGCTGTGTCGTTAGTGTAGAGAGCAAAGCTGTGAGCAACCCTGCAAGCAATCGAAGCAGAAGTGTCAGTGTCCTCTAAACAGCCCTACATGATGACAAGCGGGCAAGCTGGAATCACAAGGCCAGAACTGCATCCAGACATAATGATTCCAGGTTTCAAACCATTCCAGTTGTCTAAACCCTAAGCTTAGATATAGGAATCTCTTCCCCAAATCTCTCTCTTCTGTTCTACTTCTGCCATTTAACTGACATCTGGGGTTGCAAGGGAAAAATTCTCAAAATCAAAGCCAAGAACACGCCTGCTGTGACTCAGGGAGCCTGGGATGGGAAGAGAAAGCCCTCAAATGGATGGGGACCAAAGGCCAGGTGTGAGGAGGGGCCAGCCTGAGGCATTGTCAGTGCTAGTGCCCCCTCATTAATCTTTAGAAAGCAGCCTTGGCCAAGGTCATGAAGTAACCTTAAGACTTGGGGAGGAGAGACACAACAAAAGAAGCTGTGTGCTTAGTGTACAGTGTCTGCCCCCTCTGAGGGATAAGTGCTCTCAACATCAGCCAGGCTCAGCTTGCTTTTCTTCCTCTCACATTGCTTTCTTACAGAATGGATGCAAGAAAACTTAAAGGACATACCATCTAATCTACTTTCCTGTCAGTGTAAAGAGTCAACATAATTCTAAGTAGGAAAAAAGAAGACTACAGATGCAAGAATGAACATCTGTTTACTTTAACTTCCTACTCCATACTAAGGATAAACTCACTCAGGTAGAAACATGAAAAAATTAGGACAAAATCTATGTCTGAATCCATCTTAGCTGCCTTAGTAAATGCCCTTTAAACCCCAGCAGTCACAGTGGCCAGCCACTGCCAGCAGCGGCTCTGCTTCCCCAAGTCTAAGCCTGATGCTAAGACCTCTGCAATGAGAACATGACTTTCTACTCAAAAAGACAATGCAGTAACAATACTGTGTCACGCTGTAGTCTTCCATTTGGGAGCTGTCAGTTAGGAACTAGAATACATCTCCATGATCACTCCTTGGAGTAGATGCCCTCCTGCTTGCTGCAAGAAAGGCTTTGATCCTTGGACTTCATAGTCTGCTTTGGAAAATGTCAGCTCCTAGCACCAAAGGGTTTAATCTGAAGATCATCATTAATGAAGGAGAAAGATGAGGTTTGCATACATGTCCCCTCTCAGTGAGAAATGTCTGGGACTGGGAGACATGAGTATGTACAGAAAAGGAAAAGCTAGAGGTGTTCTGTTTTGTTGATTTCCCTGATGGCTTGATTCAGTAATGAATGTACCTTGATAAGAATAAACACACCAGCTTCTTATCCTTTGCTTCCTACTGTGTAAATATTTGTGATGTGTTCATTTTGCCAAGTCAAGTTTATCTCTTATCATCATTTGGGTCTCAGCTTTCTCCATGACTTTATGCCAGGCCATACTCACACATCCACTCGAATGAACAACCATCAACATCCATTTGCTCCACCAACCAACCCCTTGGCACTGGGTAGTTGGGCCTTTTCTCATTTCGGCACCAAGGGGTTAATTACTGCATCTCTGCTCCCAAAGCCAGATTCTAACCAACAGATATTCATTCCAGAGCCTTACCAATTTTTTGTACAAAGGAGAAAAAGTGCATGATTCTAATGGGTGTGTACATTCCTTGCACATGGTTCAAAAGAAACCGCAGTCAATGTCCTGTGAGTTGGAGCTGCGTCTGCTAACATGACAATACACTTCTTATCACTAAAAAATAAATACTACTATAATATAAACAAAATCATTAAAGGACATTCAGAATTTTAACATCTGAGAAAAAGCTAATTCACCTATAACTGAAAGTAAAACTTCAAAACTGGTAAGGCAAACACCTGTTCACCTTGGTGTATAGATTTTGGCGACAGCAGGATCATTATACTGTCTACATTCTTCAGCCATCAGAGGTGATAAATATCAAGAAGGGAAAAAGGTTGTCAAGCCCAGGGGCAAAATACTCTCTGGTACAATGTAGATCCTAAGACCGTCTAGGTGACTCTGCACCTTCAGTACTTGGTGGAACAACGTCCATTTGCCCATGAAGTCTGGGTGTCCATGGGCGACCCTGGGCTTCCTCCACAATATCCAGCAGGAATTAAAAACCATGTGTATCTCATCAGCCCTTCAGTCCTCTCAATGCTTCCTAAGGATTTCCAGCCAAATATCAGCAATACGCGCTTTATGCACTGGTCAGACATGCGTTGCTATACCCTTACATATGCACACCACCACCCTTCAACAATTGCTTGTTCAGAAATATAAACTACATCTTCTTAATCTAATTAGTTCTTGATGTATCTTCTAGAAAGTTAAAAATGTACCTAGAATCAGTGTATCTCATTCAGCCTTCACTGCTAGGGGAAAACAAAAACTGAAAGAAGATGACAATTGATCACAAATGAACGAGGGGCTTGTGACCCCAGAGATTGTAAAATTACTTCTGAAAACTGCTGTAATAGTAAGACAGTAGCAGCAACAGCATGAGACCTTAGACTGAGATACAATTTCATGCAAAAACAAAAACTGGAGTGTCTGTGTATATGTTTTCATGTGGGTGAAAGGTGGTGAAGGTGAAGACCCTTGGCTGGTCAGGGATGTCAGAAGTGCCCCTGCTATCTGTAAGAGCGAGGACTGGTGGAGATGTCCAGTAATCATTCTCAGTGACAAAAATCTAAGATGACAGTGTAGAAGAGAATGAAAGAGACTTATTCTCGTCCACTTGCAGAGTAGGAAAACTGAGGGAAATGTGGCCGCCGCTCGTTGTCCATGCACTCCATGCCATCTTCATCATCTGTGGGCAGCAAACAGCTATTGTCACTTATGTTTGCAGTATTAGCTCTATATTATACATTATACAGACAATAAGATTGATAAACATCTCCATAAAATCTCCTTATTTTTAAAGGAAAACTACTATTTCTAAATGTATATGATCCACAAAGAAAAACTACTATAAAACTGCTTTTAAAACATCAAAATATCAAGATTCAATACTAACAGGAAAAAATGTTACTAAAAAAACAGAATTCTTTCAAGACTCATGCTTTTCAGGAATATATTAAGTTCTAAGTTTAGGTCATTAAATTCTACACAATCCACTGGGTCTTCAAAGTGCTTGTATTTTTTTTTCTTCCTGGTGACCTTACAGTAAGACTGCAAACTAATCTTCTTAAGTAACATTAGTTAATATCCACCATCAATTAACTCACTATACTCAATTTTCCTGATAAAACTTTAAACTATAATAAAGAGAACAAGATAAAAGGTGGAAAACAAAGGGCAGCTTTCAAGTCCTGGTTCATCAGGAAAATGGAGGGATTTTCAAGACGTGGGGGAAAGGTAGCATGTATGAACCTGCCCTCTCTTCATCTCTATTTTCTGTATGTAAAGGGCTAGGAAGGACCATGCCTCTTCCTCCCTAAATGTTCTGTGATCAGAACCGAGTCACAAGCTCTTCCCTGGGGTGAGCCCAAGCCTAGAGGGCTCCATCTAAGCCACTCCTGCTCATCTCCAATGTCCACTGCACACGAGTCCACCTGAAATCCAGATGAACAAGTCAGTATAACCCTTTAACAAATATTTGTTTTTTATTTTTATTGTGTGTGGGTGGGTGTGGGGGAGAGAGAGCACACATGCGCTTATGTGAAACACATGAGTGCAAGCTTCCTCAGTCTGAAAGTATCAGATCCCCCACATGCTGCTGTATGCTGGTTGTTTCTTGTGAGTCATTTGGGAGGAGGAAATCTTCATTGATAAAATGCTTCCATCTGATTTACATAAGAAAGTCCAGTCATGATGGGTTACAAAAAAAACCAAAAGGTTAAGCACTGGAATCATAGGTTGTGAGGCCCCAATTTAGGGTTAGAAACTGAACCCAGATCCCCTGTAAGAGCAGAAAGTGCTCTTAATTACGGGGACATCATCTCTCTCCAACCTTATAACCTTTTTTTTTTTTTTTTGCAAGCAAAATATTTCTGTTTCCTAAAATCTATTAAAAAGGACTATTTCCATTTGTTTTGTTTCCCAGCCTCCCTAGGGAGCACTGATTTCATGTAATAACAGCAGAAGCAGAGGCTGTACTGTACCCCATAAGAGGCTTTGCTTTCATCTGAAAAAAAAAAAATCAACATTTTTGTTTTGTTTCTTTGTTTTTTTTTTTTCCTTGTCTCTTGTTAATGCACAGGGACCTCAGAAGTAAAACTGAATTAGCATTAACCTAAATTTTTCAGCTAAAATGTACCGTAAACCATTGCTGCAGTAGATAGAAACATACCGCATATAGTTTGCATAGGACTTTATACAAATTCCCCTCTACAAACAGACCACTGCCTTGCCAGTGGCTGGGCAGCAATCCTAGGTAGTACTAAGGTAGAGGTAACCCTCTGCCTCCATAAAAATTATGGGTTCAGAAACAAGCCAATCACATGCATTTTCTAGATCAAATTTTTTAGCTGTTTAAAAGCTGAAAAGGGTTGGTGGTATCCACTGTTGAGTCAGACAGCATACAATCTCTACAAAAAAGTGAGCTGAAGTCATAATGCTCTAACCTGACATGTGCGAAGCATGTCTGAGAAACCATTCCCACTAAAAGCTATGTGCTCGTCTACTCCAGATGACAGGGGCTGCCCTGGCTCCTGGCTGTAACTAGACCTTGTCCTAAACCCACAAGGGCTTTGCATGGCAATGGTTTTGCTTGGAGAGGGAGGGAATACTGTTGGATATCCCCAGAGAATTAAGACAGCCTCCATTGTAACTTCAATAATACACACAGCAATTCTGAATAGGCACAAATCTGAATTCACAGTCTGGCTGTGAGGCCCCAACACTTAAAGCGACCTACTCCAGCTCTTGTTTGCTCCATCGGGTTGGTCACAGTGAGCATAGTTCTTTGACCATGTCCGGCTGAGATAGGATGGCAGCAGTTCCCTGGGCACCTAGTCAATGGATGTGAACCTGTTCCTAGGCTGGAGGACATACACTACACTGAAATGTAGTGCCTCAGACTGCACCTACACAGCCTCAGGCACCTGCTTTTCTCAGAACATTTAACGAAGTGTAATTAGACAGTAGTAACAGTGACCAGATCTCTCTCAAAGACATTTTCCTTTTCTGTGAGAGGAAAGCATAGGACCATTGATGGATGTAATGAAAGACAACACATTCTAAAATCTGTTCGATTAATTAACACCAGTTAGGACAATCTGGCACATTGCTGCAGCTGTTTGTAGAAAATGGAACATTTTGCTGTCTTTCTTAACTGATGATTTATTCTTAAAAAATAATTAATTTTTTTTTGATTTATAAAACCAAGGTGGCAAGTAGTAAGACAACTGCTAACAAATGGCATTTCTGTAGACTTCTGAACCAAAAAAGAAAGAAAGAAAGGAAGGAAGGAAGGAAGGAAGGAAGGAAGAAAGAAAGAAACCCACTCTATGTGTACTAATGCTTTATTGCCCCCTTTCTTTTCCCATAATGGACAGCTACAATTTATGGACTGCCAAAGTTAAAGCCCTTGCCTTGGCACTTAGAACCAAGAACTTCAGTTAATAGCCACTGGGACCCCTCCCCTCCAACAGGAAGCTGGGACAGCGAGAGGCTTGGCCATCCTCTCACTTGCCTTTCCAGCCTAGAGATCATGAATGAGGTGAGAGGAGGCCAAGCCACATAGCTTCCCTATTCCTAGTCTAGGGCAGACCCTGACAGGCATGGACCACACTGGCTGCTGCACTGTACAGCAGCAGAGCAAAGCCAGACTCTACTTCCCATGCCCACACAAGTCAGGTTCCCACCTTGGGAATTATGCTAACCTAAGGGCTTTCTGTACAGTCTCAACACTCTAGAAAGGAACTCATCACCCTTCAAAGATACTGAGGAGGCTTATGCAAAATGGTCTACCCTTGCATGGACCATTGATGAATGGAGGTGAGGAAAGAGGTTAAAGTTAAATTCTAGAAGCAGAGCATATAAAGCATTTTCTCTCCAACATTTCAGAGGTTTTAGGAACTGAGAAATAAACATACAAATTCTCATCAGGACAGCTACCATGAGTTAAGGGTTATAAACATGAAAACAGGAGGAGTCAAGATGTCCTGGTCCTTGACTCCTGAGCCAAATTATTCATGAAACAGTGACTGACTAACCACAAGAGTATCTTTAATAGCTTCTAATTTCACTTGGTTGAGACTGTCCAGAGTTTTAAACTGTTTTTACAGCTACTGGCTTTTAGTCTTATATTTCTTCATGCTCATTCCACTTAGGAATTTATTATATTGGACTTTTCATGAAGATCATAAGGACCAGTTAATCAGGCCATTCAAGCTTGGAGTCATCTAGAGCCTTTAAGAGCTGGTTTGCCAGGCACACTCCAGAGAAACACAGGCTCTAGAGATTATCCCAAAATCCCTGGGCTTATTCATCAGGCAGTTGAGGCATCTTGTCTCAGACAAGGCGTGAAGTAAGCTCCCGAGCTTTAGTCTATGCTTTCACATTTCCTATCTTCTAAAACTGGGCTTTTACTTTTAACTTTATGAAGTGAACTATCTACTCGTAACTCTTCCTTTCCATGCCCTATTTATATTTTTTCAAATTCACATATTTAAATTCACACACTTAAAAAGACTCCTCAAATGACAAAACTTTTTTAAGAAAAGAACCATCTTGATAAGGCTGAGACTGAGAACAGGGACAGGTCATGAGTCAAGCGTGCTGTTAAGGCCCAGGCACGTTATTTGGAAGGTTGAGGCATCAGGATCCTTTGAGATCCAGACCTAGCTAGGCTTGTGAGATTCCCTCCAACATACTTTCAGTAAGACACCAATATCTTCCTATCCCAGTGTAGACTATGGATGTCAACTGGGAGGAAAGGTAGCCCAGATATTTAAAGGCAACTGCACTGTGCTGAGAGCAGGGAATATTCTTTACCCTAACTTTCCCTGTCCCAGTCAAGGTTTATGTTCACTTGTTTAATAAATATTTATCAAGTATCTATGCTGGGCCAGGCATCTATGCTGGGACCTGGGACAAATAGCTGCTAAGTCACAAGATCCTTTCTCTCAGTAATATTATGTTACACTGACAAAAACAGAAAACAAACTAACAAAAAAATAGCAAATAAAGGCATCATAATCTACACAGAAGCATTCCAGTAGAAAGGAGCTTGTTAAGACTACGCTACTCCATAGACTAGTACATCAACGGTGACTCTCTGGGTGAGAATAAGGATGTATACTGTAAAAGGAACCCAGCTTAGAGCTTTACCCTGGGGAATGATGGTCTGCAAATAACTAGCCTTAGATTCAAATGGCAGAGCCCAGAAAGAACTCAGGGTAGGCATTTTCTCGGTGTGTTCAGCCACTCACTGGTGCTTCCCAGCATTTTGAACAACTGTATTGCTGCATCCTATGCTGGAACCAGAGGCCAAGGCCTATGCCCATAACTTCTACTCAGATAACTCTTAACTAATTCCCTGCAACTCCAAGGCATTTTTGAACACTCTCCAACTTCTTAGTGATGCTAAAAGCCTACCAATAGCACATGTAACTCATTTTAGCACGTGGGCATCTTAAGCACTTTGCTGGTATCCCAACTGAGCTGTGAGCCCTGCTCCTAGCTGTGTGTGACACTGGGCTCCAAAGTCTTCACTTACAAAAAGTTAAACACTTGTTGGTGAATCTAAAGGCACAAAGGACCAGAAGTGCACATATGTCCACACAGACATTTCCCCTCAGGACATATACTCTCCTGGGTACAGAGCCATGGAACCCAGATGAGTCCTAGTTTGTGCTTCAACAATAACATTAGTCAACTGTGACCACTATGGGAATAGTATTTCGTCTTCTTTTTCTGTCTCACAGACATTCAGTGTAACTGAGCAGTAACAATCAACAACAGAGAAAAATGTTCAAACAAAGAAAAAGTAAGGAAGAAATGCTAAAAGATGCTACATATGAATGCCTGGGATACTTTTAGCTTTCCAAACATGACCTTAAAACTCTACCCTATCCTTGTTCTTCATCAAAATCTACTTATTTATAGCATTTCATAAGAGTACAGAGCATATTTTAATGTATATGGAACAACATGAAATGGTATATGAACACACAGCCTAATCCATTTTTAATTTAAAGTATGTGCATGAAAATAACAAACTAAACTGTGTTGAAAGATACTACTGTTTAAGGAAAACCTAGTTTTAAAAGTAACAAGTTCAAACGACTAAGTAAGGAGGAGGCAAAAGCATGAATTCTGACGATATGATGGAGGAAACAAGGTCTGGACTAGGGAATGCTCCCGACAGTCCGCAGAACACGGCTAAGACAGCAGCAAGGAAGGCGATGTCTGTATTTCAGCCTCTAACTCTCCACCCAGGGCTGTTCATGTTCCTGCTGCTCTGCTATTCCCTCACAGGGAGCTCCAAATTCTCAACAGAAATGTAATAAAAGTCACAGTTTGATTTAATCTTTAAAGTAGCAAATGATTCTGAAAAAGACTGTTTACAATTATTTTAGAAAGCTATCAACTGTGTAATAAATTTACTTACATTTTTCAGGTGGTGTTATTGTAATAGTTTGAGCTGTAAATTCTTCATCAAAATATCTTGTATCTGTCTCAGATGTTACTTGAGGCTTAAAAGGAGGTACAAGCTATAAGAAAAAAGAATACTGTCAATGTATTTTAATTAAGGAAACCTTACTTTTAGGATATAATTAGAGAGCAAACAATGAAACGAATGGTGACAAAGACTAGAAGGCGGAATCACACTGTAAGGTAGACAAGGTGCTTGCCTCCCTCTGTCAATAGTCTAAATAGAGCATAGTAAGATCTTGGCTACTCCATCAACAACTGATTATGAGAAACAGAAGAATGGGGAACTCATGAACCATGCTGAGATGAGAACACTGTATAGTCTGTTATAATTATTCACTGATAACAGGCTTAGAGGGGCTATAGTAAAGAAGTTGGCAACCAGGTGAGATGGCGGTTCTTCCTGGGGCAGCGAGAATGCAATCTTGCCTGCTATCCTTTCTTTCTTTCCTAGTAACTGACTTAACAGGTTAATATTAAAAATATAACTGATCTAGGAGTGGTGATGCACGCCTGTGGTCTCAAGATTCAGAAGGCTAAGGCAGGAGGATCACATGTATGTAGTTTGGCTACATAGTGAGACCCTGTTTGAAAACCAACAAACCAACATATCAGCAAAAGTCAACGCAACACAGCTGTTCTGTAAGGCACAGGCAACACTCCACCTTTATAATTTGTAAAGAATTCTGCTTTCTTGGAACAGGCATTAATGCCTACCTTTGCCATAGAATCAGAATTCTTAGCAGCCTCTGAAATTCATGAAAAACTGCATCCAAGCTTTTATTCCCTCACAAGGGCTGTGTCCCGAAGTAGTCTGAAGTAAGTATGCTAGCACTAACAGAGCTGGACTGACTTTAGTGGGTCTCAAAGCAAGAAGAGGGTGAGAAGGAAGCCTCAGATGGCTGATCCATGTTAATCTGTACTGGCTGGAGGGGAGCAAGGTGACAGGATTCTCACTTGTCAGAACTCTGACCCCAAAGGGCAAGAGAGACATATGCATCTCCTTTTGAAAATAAGATGCTTAACCCCAGACTTTGTGAGTCTCATCAGAACAAAATATAATTCTTACAAGAATAGGAAAAAGAAACAGGATAAAGAAATTAGCATGTTTTGCTAAAATATTGAAGAAAAACAGTTGAACTGAGAGAAGTGTGTTGTCCTCATTCTCACTGCCACCAAATATGTATTAAAATGTTTATTCTCTACATAGATTCTGCTTTTTAAAGTTGGTAAATGGGGTCTGCAAACAAAACAACAAAAATGTGAAGCAGATTTAGTGGCACACACCTATAGCACAGCACCAACCAGGAGACAGAGGTAGGACTGTGAACCTGAGGCCATTCTGGGCTACACGGAGACCCTGTCTGAAAGAAGTAAGACTGTATGTAAGGATAGCTTTCAAAGAGATAACAGCATTAAAGTGGCTTTAACCTGCTCCTACGTGTCTATAAAAAAAAGAAATTTGGACACTCAAGGAAATACATGAACTAAGGAAGGTTATGTCAAACTGAGGAAAAGAACCAAATGTAAGCCTTGATCTGGGACCTGCAACAATTCCCCCCCACCTCGTTTCTTTACAAATGAGAACAAATAACAAGCCAAACCAAACCACAAGCCCTAGTCTGTGACATTTTGCTACAGTAACCCCAGCACACAACTACTGCATGAACTTTTCTAGTTTGGCCTTAAGCCAATAGTATCATATCATCTTTGTTATCTATCTATATCTCTAGGCTCCTCTTTCAAAATATTCTTGTATCAGCTGCCCCAGTGTAAACCCCTATAGAAATGATAAGCACTAATAATCAGAAACACCTAGCTACAAATTAGTTAGCTTTTATGTGCTAATTCAGTAAACAGCAACCATATTATTAAAGTATAAACTTGATATATTTTCCCAACAAATACATTGTACTTCAAATAGATCTTTCTTTGAAAGTTACTGTGTTCTTAGAAAATGTTGTAAATGATCAAAACAGCAGGATCAAGATTAGGGCTACTACAGTAGGAATCTAGAAAAGTCCATGTGATAAAGTCCTTGATGTCAGAAACTTAATCAACTTTAAGAGATGGGCTTAGCTTTGTCTTAGAACATATGCTCTTGAAGGTGACCACAGAGCCTCAGTTTCTCCCTTTTATTTCTCTTTCACTGGTGCCATAAGTAAGCAGCTTGTTCCACCTGTACTTCCCGCCATGATGTGCCATCTGCCTCTTGATAAGTCCAACAGAAATAGGATCGGCAAGTCACATGTGGAAACTTTCAAAACTGTGAGTCAAATAAGCCTTTTTGGGGGCTGATTGTCTTGATTATTATGTTATCACAATAGATAATGTATTCAAGGCATTAAATTCAGTTGACTGAAAAGGCATATTTAGAGCTAGGTTTACTTGTATACACTCAAGTACATTGAGTATTCTTCTAACAATCAAATCATACACTAACATTCACTATTTTCCTAAAATTAAATACTTATGTTTCTTTACAGTATAAATAGAGGCATACATTTGAAAGACAATTTTCTTAAATTCATGAGAATATATCAGTCCATAATTCCACTTGGGTTGGGAATACTATATGAGTATAGGACTAAGATCTTCAAAGTAAATCTCCTCAGACTTCCCTTAGCATCTTGTGACTTCCTTGTTCCTGTATGTTTAATTTTTTTGTTTGTCTGTTTTCTATTTTAAGGCTGTGGTGCTTAAGAAATTGAGTAGTACCTGGCTCTTTCTATGATAGACCATGATTATAGTGTCACAGCTGCCTTAGAACCCATGGCAATCTCAATCATTATGTGCTAGTATATATAAATCAAAATACTGAGACAAAGACAACAAAAGGTAACAAAAATGTGCAGCACTCGTAGGTTCAAAATCTGTTACTCTATTTTTATCTCTTTAAAGCAATATGATATAGTAGCTAATCTTATGTAGAAATTCTGGTTAATTTGATCCCTGTTCCTCTTAAAAAATTTTTGTATCACACTGAGGCAGGACCAAGGCCCTCCAACCTAGAGTGGATGGGGGGGTTGGGTGGGGATAAGGTGGGGAGAGGAAGGAAGGGTGAGGGAACTGGGAATGGTATGTAAAATAAAAGATTGTTTTAGAAAAATTAAAAACTCACCTTATGGTTTATACAAGTATGTATACAAGTACTGGAAAAAGCAAGAATATGGAATATGTATACATAAAATGAATCCACTTATGTCATGTATTATTTAACTATGCTATACATAAAGCTCTATAATACCAATTCCTTCTTAAACATAAACTAAAAATTTGAAATAAGTATATCTCATTTTTCTGTAACCATATAATATTAATTGACATTCACATGTATGACCTCAATCCTATGAAAAAAATATCAAGGTCAAGGTCTATAAATATTCATAAGTCATAAACTAGAACCACAAAAGTGGGTGTTTTAGCCATACCAAGCATTGTATGCAAGTTGAATTCAAAGAAAGAAAACCAAAACTTAGAGCAGAAATCAATGAACTTTAAAAAAGACAATCGAGAAAATAAAACCAAAACCTGAATTTTTTTAATTAATAAAGATGATGAGTCTGTTTGTGTTAAATAAATGTACTTCTATCAGTTTTCTTTGCATTTTAGGTAATTCTTCACACAAAGATGCTGTAAACTGGTACAAAATGTGTGTTTCACTAAAGATTATACTACTGATATTTACACCTGAAACATGTCACTTGTCACACTCGATAGCTCTGGACTGATACCTACTCAGAGCCAAACACTGCTTCCAGTTTGGACTGTTCCGACACTTGGGCATTAAACATGTCTATTCAGTATGATTTTTTCCCAAGATTTCGTTGTAGGTGAGATTTTTTGTTGGGGGGGGGGGTTGAAAGAGGGTTTCTCTGTGTAGCTTTGGAGCCTGTCCTGGAACTAGCTCTGTAGACCAGGCTGGCCTTGAACTCACAGAGATCCATCTGCCTCTGCCTCCCAAGTACTGGAATTAAAGGTGTGCACTACCCCTCCTGGCTTTAGGTGAGAGGCTTTTTTGTTTAAATTGATTTTTATTGAGCTCTGCATTTTTCTCTGTTCCCCTCCCTGCCTCTCCCCTCCTCTTCAACACTCTCCCAAGGTCCCCATGCTCCCAATTTACTCAGGAGATTTTGTATTTTTCTACTACCCATGTAGATTAGATCTATGTATGTCTCTCTTAGTGTCCTCACTGTTGTCTAGGTTCTCTGGGATTGTGATTTCTGGGCTGGTTTTCTTGGCTTTATGTTTAAAAACCACTTATGAGTGATAATTGTCTTTCTGTGTCTGGGTTACTTCACTCAAAATGATGTTTTCTAGCTCCATCCATTTGCCTGAAAATTCAAGATACCGTTATTTTTTTCTGCTGTGTAGTACTCCATTCTTTGGTTGAGGGGCATTTAGGTTGTTTCTAGGTTCTGGCTATGACAAACAATGCTGCTATGAACATAGTTGAGCACATGTCCTCGTGGCACGATTGAGCATCCTTTGGATATATACTCAAAAATGGTATTACTGGGTCTTGAGGAAGGTTGTTTCCTAATTTTCTGAGAAATCGCCACACTGATATCCAAAGGGGTTGTACCAGCTTGCCCTCCCACCAGCAATGCAGGAGTGTTCCCTTTACCCCACAACCTCTCCAGCATAAGTTGTCATCAGTGTTTTTGATCTTGATCATTCTTACAAGTGTAAGGTAGAATCTCAGAGTTGTTTTGATTTGCATTTCTCTGATGACTAAGGATGTTGAACTTTTCCTTAAGTGTCTTTCAGACATTTTAGATTCCTCTGTTGAGAGTTCTCTGCTTAGGTCTGTACTCCATTTTTTTTTATTGGATTATTTGTTCTTTTGATGACCAATTTCTTGAGTTCTTTGTGTATTTTGGAGATCAGATGTCTGCCTGATGTGGGGCTAGTGACGATCTTTTCCCATTCTGTAGGCTGTTGTTTTGTCTTGTTGACCGTGTCCTTTGCTTTACAGAAGCTTTTCAGTTTCAGGAGGTCCCATTTATTAATTGTCTCTCTCAGTGTCTGTGCTACTGGGGTTATATTTAGGAATGGT